TCTCCCAACAAGGTCTTGTTTGCCAAAAACACAGGGAAGATGTTTCAGACAGATTTTCACCCTGCTTATGACGCCAACGGGATGATAGAGTTTAACGAACCCGTGCCTTTCCGTCTCACAAGGAACATGCAGTCATTCTTCTCTCAGTTTGGAGTCGAAGGTCTTCTCATGTCATCTATGTGTTCTGCAGCTCAAGCAGTAATCTCCTCCAAGGTAAAGTGATGAATTATGATAATCCGAATAAGAAGCTAATAAATGGTACAAGAAGCCATTGATTTGATCTCTGTTTCTGAAATTCTCTTTTCAGCAAAACGATCATCTTCGGTATCAACTGGCTATGTTCTTCCGCGATGAATTGCTGTCTTGGTTTGGGAGAAGACCTCTCGGTGTTCCGGTCCCTCCTGTTGGAGGAATTGCTACACTGAACTCAGCCGAGCTTAAGCACAAAGTTAACTCCAATGTGGAAGATGTCATTGGCCGGATCAGAGGAATAGCACCACAGTACTTCTCCGAAGAGGTAGATGCATCACCGTTATTTCTCATCAACATCATCATTCATCATTTATCATCATTCATCATCATTTATCATCATTCATCATTATTTATTATCATTCATCATCATCATATATGGGTTTGGTTTATGTAGGATGAGAACACGGTGGATCCGCCGCAGTCGGTGCAAAGAGGAGTGAACGAGTTGGTGGAGGCAGCTTTGTCTCCTCGCAACTTATGTATGATGGATCCAACATGGCATCCTTGGTTCTAACTTCAAAATCCGAGTTTCACTGTTTCTAGTTTAATGGTAGCTATTAGGCTATTAGCTAACGACATTATTCATTAGGTTTGTAAATATAATAACTCTGTGTAATGTATTAATCATACTCACTCCTTTTGGTTGATGTTAGTATTAACATTTTCTGTGCTATAAAATGTACTTTTGAACCTGTTAAACTTTGACGTTCCTTGTGTTCTTGCAAATGTCTTGAGAGGTAAAAATGTTTCCTTTCACATCAAAAGCTACACATTTCGACACAACAATTAAGTTTACTGGTTAATACGCCAAAAATCCAAACTTTATCCAAAAAGGTTTTTTTTTTTTTTTTTTTTTTCAAAATTGAAAAGAACGAACAATGCGACTAATCAAAGTCGATATCATATAAGTTTGGTTAATCGGAGAACCTAAAATCGAAAGTTACCGTTGTTCTAGAAACCTATCGGTACTCAGCTTACTAGAGATGGCGCTAATGGCGGATTTGCAGAGGTTTCTACGAGATCGCTCCTTAAGCGTTTGCAATCTCCCACAAAAAGGCCGCTCTTTATTCACTGGCAGAGACTTCGTTCCAGGTTTCATATCCCTCTCTTGCGGGTAGTGGTTTTTAGGGTTTCGTATGAAATTTGTTTAAGAGTGAGGTCTTGGATTTCTCAGGAGAAGTGATTACAAGCCAAGAGCCATATGTTTGTGTTCCGAACAATAGCTCGCCGGAATCGAGATGTGACGGATGTTTCAAGACCAACAACCTTAAGAAATGTTCTGGTTGTCAAGTTGTTTGGTACTGTGGGAGCTCATGCCAGGTATCAGTTGATTTGATTCTCATCTGGAGAAATTAGAAATTGATGATTGATTGATTCGTATTGTAAAGAGGCTTTCTTTGATTCTTTTCTCAGAAGTCAGAGTGGAAGTTGCATCGCCATGAATGCAAAGCTCTCTCTACACTTGAGAAGGAGAAACGGAAGTTTGTGACTCCTACAATACGTATGATGCTGAAACTTTACATCAAGAGGAATTTACAAAATGAAAAGGTAAAATTCATCATACTTCTTGCTTTGATTTACTTTGTTGAAATGTGGAGAAGAAGTCTGGTATAGTGTAAATATATAAAGATATAGTCTATGTATACTAAGTTCTTAATGTATTTATGTGGTCCAGGTCATACCAATCACGACAACAGACGATTACAGTTTGGTGGAAGCTTTGGTGTCTCGTATCCTTCTCTATTTGGGCTTTAGTTTTGTGAAATTGATAATCTTCTTTTGCGTATTCTTTTTGTCTTCTTTAACCTTTTGATTTGGTAGACATGTCTGAGCTTGATGAGAAGCAGCTGATGTTGTATGCACAGATGGCTAATCTTGTGAACTTGATTCTTCAGCTTCCTAGTATTGATCTAAAAGAGATTGCTGAGAACTTTTCAAAGGTACTTCACCAGCGTTTTTGTGTGTTCTTTTTAATGTTAGCTTGACACAAACAAATCTTCCTTGCTGCCGTTGAATAGTTGTCTATAGTTTATGTATTATGGTATCTGAAAACTAATGAAATGCTAGCAAAGGATAAAAGAGATTGGTCACTTTGATATATTTGAGTATATAAACTATCTATTGGGCTACAATGAGTGAGTTTCTTGTGTTAATCTTCAAACCTGGAATGTTGTTTACCGGTGAGTATTTAATTTACTTTCGTTTCTTCTGATGGCAGTTCTCATGCAATGCTCATAGCATTTGTGATAGTGAATTGAGACCTCAGGGGATAGGATTGTATCCCTTTGTTTCCATCATTAATCACAGGTAATTTCTTCACTGATCTCTTTTGTTCATGTTCTGTTTCCATCATTAACCAGTTCGTTTCCTGCTTAACTCTTTACTTATGTAGCTGCGCTCCCAATGCGATTTTGGTGTTTGAAGAACAGATGGCTGTTGTTCGAGCTATGGGGCACATACCGAAAGATTCAGAGGTAGGTTCTGTTTTGTTTCATCTTTTGACTTTCGTACATGCTAGTAAGCACACTGACATATAGCTGTTAAGGTCCTTTGTCTTTGATCAGGTAACCATCAGCTATATTGAAACCGCTGGAAGCACTCTGACTCGGCAGAAGTCTTTGAAAGAACAGTACCTCTTCCATTGTGAGTGCACCCGATGCAGTAACATTGTAAGTAGTCACTAATTCTTTCACTTAATAACGAATGGAGTTTGCACTTAACCACTCAATATTCAAGATTTCTTACAACATTTTTAAAACCTAAGGGAACACCTCATGATATTGAAGAAAGTGCAATATTGGAAGGCTATCGTTGTGCCAATGAGAACTGCACTGGTTTCTTACTCCGTGATCCTGGTTTGTAAAGATTTGAATACATAGTTTATGTGTCCAAGAACATTCTTGTTCTCCCTCATCCTCCTTTGTTTGGGTTTTGCAGATGAAAGAGGCTTTGTTTGCCAGAAATGCACTCTTCTTAGGAGCAAGGAAGAGGTTAAAAAGTTGGCGGGTGATGTCAAAAAAGTTTCAGAGAATGCTCCTGCATCTCCTTCCGCAGAAAGTATATGTTTCCTCCTTTGCTTCCCCAATGCCTGCATTTATATGTCTGAACAAGCTAAAGTGATCTTGGTCACATTGAGCTGTGTTTCAAGTGAACTGAGAGAATATTTGACCAATTTCAGATAAACAAGACGCTATTTCAGTATACAAGGCAATGGAGAAACTACAAGCTAGGCTTTTCCATTCTTTCTCCATCACTTTAATGAGAACCCGTGAAAAACTTCTCAAGGTACGTCTCCTTTGGAAAGAAGGCTTTATACTTTTGGAAGTTGCACAGATTTTGATAAGACATGTTTCCAAAACTTGCGATTATGAATTGTTTTGCAGATGCTGATGGAAGTAGAAAACTGGAGAGAAGCTTTGAATTACTGCAGACTAATAGTCCCTGTTTACCTAAGTATGTCATTTTCTATTGGCATTTTCTTAGAACTACTGTGCAAACTAGTTGCATACAGAAACAACTACATATCTTGCTTGAGTAGCTGTTAACAAAGTTGGCAGAGATGTAACAGAGAGTTATATAGTTGTAAAAATCATCCAAATGCTTTTGGTGGTTATATTACTTGTGCTTACTTTTGTTCATATCGTTGCAGGAGTTTATCCAGCAACACATCCTTTGATTGGACTGCAGTTGTATACCCAGGGAAAACTCGAATGGTACCAAAACTTCTGTTATCCTTTCTCTGGTTTTACTGAATCCATGGGCCTGCAGATACAAATTCTGATCCATTGTGTGCCTGTAGAAACTTACAAACTAATGTTTGACTAAAAATGCATGCTTGTTGTGTTGCAGGTTGCTAGAGGAAACCGAAGATGCGGTAAGTTCACTGACTAAGGCATTTGACATTCTTCGGATCAGCCATGGAACAAGCACTTGTTTCATGAAAGAGCTCTCAGCAAAGTTGGATGAAGCTCGTGCAGAAGCTTGCTTCAAAAGAGCAAACTAACTAAGAAACTTCCATCTTTTACTCTTCTCCTCATGAAATCACTTTCTCTACTCTCTGCAAAGTTTTTAACTTGAGAAATTCTAGAGCCTGAAAAACACTGATAAAATGCTATTTTTGATTTGATCTAATATGAATATTTGAGCGATTAAATCGAGGAATCTGCTTGTTTCAGGATAAATTGGAATATTATTTTCAGCAATCACCGTACTAACTTTTCCGTCGACATATAGCAACCTCGTCTTGTTTGCTTGATCATGGAACATTTTTGCTTTCAAATTAAAAACAACTCAACCAATGATATAGAAATGCACAATACAATTGATCAGTGACACACATACAATACAAACTATGGAAATGATTTGATGTAAAGAGAGAGGTGAAGATAGTACAAGCATTAACTGGACATGAAAATGTGGTTCGGTTTTATAATGCCTTGGAGGACAAGAACTCTGTTTTCTATTATCAGTCATGGAGTAAGTAAAACCCTAAGACCATCTTCTTTCTATTATCAGCTTCTTTCTTGCATTGCAAGAAATTCAAAACGGCAAAATATTGTTTGTCCCTTCTGTTGCTAAATTAGTTTGTCCTTTGATGATGGCATTGTTCTTCAGATTATGCGATAAGCCCAACTTAAATCCTGGACTCGACATTGGCCCATCGCCGTAAGAGAGGTCGTACATTACACGCGAGACATCGTCTCCTACAATACAGACAACCCTAGTTTCTCAGATCTGAGAAAAAAATCATGATAATTGCTTTCCTTGATTTCAAAAAACATGCTTCTTCTTATGAGTTGGGTGTGAGGTTAATTGCTACTGACTGGCTGGTCGAAATTGCTTCAATCTCCGTTGTCATTCGACCTAGTGAGGAGGATCTTGCTCTGGATCATGGTTGTGGGGACAGAACAGCACCTACTTTCTCCGATCTCTCCGACCGTATCTGTGGCCTTCTCCTTGGACAAGTTTGGATGGGTCATGACATAGATCGAATCGACATCCCAAACTTGATTGCTGAATTTGAAAAAATTGGGGAAGAGCCAGCCACCTACACCTCAAGTAGTAATCAATACAGTTTACTTCACATCTTCCGGGACGGAGGTAATCTTTTGTTTTTGTCTTTTTTTTTTTTTTTTTGGGTGATTTTGTTATATACACGAACAACAAGTTTGTGATTATGCAGTTGGCCAGAGCTGCGAGGCGGCTTGGTTTAGGTAGTAGAGCATACGGGAGCATTGAGTCTTGCCGCAGGAATCTTGAGGCTATCATACTATGTAGATCCCTCATGTCACGTTTGGTAAGTTGTTATATATATATATATATATATATATATATTCATTCATGATTCATTCACAAAAGTTGTGTGAAAATAAAACTATTTTGCTGTTTTTGTTTTGTTTGCAGGAGCCGGATAAGATGAGCAACTCTGACGACGACAATGATTTTGTTTCCCTCATTTCTCTCATCAAATCTTATGACGACGAGGCACAAGCTGCAAGCAGTTTGTCAATAATAACATGGTCAAAACTAGAAATTGTGAGGTATTTATGAATTCAGAATTCGCTTCTCTTTTTTTGTTTTACAATTCCTTAGTTTGGCTTTTTATTTTAGTTCGTATGTTTTTTTGGTTTTCAAGTTTTGGAGGGAGCAACTAAGGCCATGCAGCTTCAGCAACTAGAGTTATTTTACTTTGATCCATTTATTTAATCTAATAGTCCCTGTTTACCAAAGTATGTCTCTGATCAATTTGAATCAATTTGAATCAATTTGATCACACACATCCATTCATATAAAAAAATCCATTAAAATACGAAATATCTTTACATTTTAAAACTCTGATAATTCCATTTATTTTGACATAAGTTTCAATTATTGTATAACCTAAAATTGTCATTTTCTCAAATTGTTAAAAAAAAAAAAACTGTTCCATGTAGAAAAGTCTATTTTCTTTGCCAACGCATTAACGAAGTTTCTCCTTCTTCCCTCTCTCTTTACATTTCGCACAAATTTCTGTCTGGCAATGCTGTTACGATGGCGACCTCATTTTCTATTCATTAATGCCACAAAATTCCCCAGAGAAAACATCCTCCTCGCGTAGGGTCAAGAAACCGAAACCTCAAAACCATGGGTCTCTGTTTCTCCTCCGCCAAAGTCTCCGGCCGCCGCAACCGCAGCCCCCGGACTCCTCCTCTCACGGTGGCTAAACCAAGACCACACCAAACCCCATGTTCATTCATGGCCGTAACGATCCAGAAAGACCATAGGACGACGACCCAACAGCGACGGTCGACCGCGGCTAAGAAAACGTCGACGAACACGCAGACGCGACAGACGCCACCACACCACGGGAGAACGAGAGAGAAGGTTAACAATAACAACGGGAGGAGACACGGAGAAGCGATCCCGTACGGTAAGCGAGTCGATTTTGGGTACGCGAAAGATTTCGATAACCGTTACACCATCGGAAAACTGCTCGGACATGGCCAGTTCGGTTATACATATGTCGCTACCGAGAAAAAAACCGGAGATCGTGTCGCTGTTAAGAAAATAGATAAAGCCAAGGTAATCATTTCGCCATCATTTATCAATCAATAATCATGAAGATTCTCTGTTTTTGGCTGTTTCTGTGTTAGAATAAACATTCCAGTTTTTTTCTAATTTAATTGAAGATTCTTCAGAATTTAGGAATCTTTTTTTCACCAAAGTTCAACGATATTGTTTTTTCAAATATGGAATTTTTTTGCTTGTTTCTTGAGGCTAAGCTATGGATTTGATTTGGTGGGCAGATGACAATTCCGATAGCTGTGGAAGATGTAAAGAGAGAGGTGAAGATACTACAAGCTTTAACAGGACATGAAAACGTGGTTCGGTTTTATAATGCCTTCGAAGACAAGAACTCTGTTTATATAGTCATGGAGTGAGTTAAACCCTAAAGACCATGTTGTTTCTATTATCATCTTCTTGCTTGCGTTACAAGAAAGACAAAAACGGCAAAATATTTTTCGTCTACTCTGTTGCTAATTAGTTTTTCCTTTGATGATGATATTGTTCTTCAGGTTATGCGAGGGTGGTGAATTGCTTGATCGGATATTAGCCAAGTAAGGCTTTATCCGAGTAAAATACAAATTTCTGTGTATTGCTGAATTTTACTTACGCTTTTGTTTTTGTTGCCTGTTTCCAGGAAAGATAGCCGTTACAGTGAAAGAGACGCGGCGGTGGTAGTGAGACAAATGCTTAAAGTTGCGGCTGAGTGTCATTTGCGCGGTTTGGTTCACCGTGATATGAAACCAGAGGTATTTTTTAATAACCTAGCTCATCTTTTGAATGTGTAGTTGGTTTCTTTTTTTACAAGTCTTCTTCTCCATCAGAATTTTCTGTTCAAATCAACCGAAGAAGACTCGGCTCTAAAAGCTACAGATTTCGGTTTATCAGACTTCATAAAACCAGGTTTGTTTGCAAAAAGATTTCAAATGCTGTGTCTTGATATATCTATCACTCTTTTGACCTAACTTTTATGTGACAACAATATTGATACAATGTAGGCAAAAAGTTTCATGATATCGTAGGGAGCGCGTATTACGTAGCACCTGAAGTGTTGAAACGAAGATCAGGACCAGAATCAGATGTGTGGAGTATCGGTGTTATCAGTTACATTCTTCTCTGTGGGAGACGACCTTTTTGGGATAAGACTGAAGATGGCATCTTCAAGGAGGTTTTGAAGAACAACCCTGATTTCAGAAGAAAACCGTGGCCAAACATTAGCAACAGTGCCAAAGATTTTGTCAAGAAGTTATTAGTCAAAGACCCGAGAGCGAGATTAACAGCTGCACAGGCACTATGTAAGCATATAGTACGTAATCAGTGTTTATTAACACAATTTGTCCATCATTTTAATTGTTCTTTATCTTCTTGGGATTGTTTTGGTTTACAGCACATCCATGGGTTAGAGAAGGAGGAGATGCATCTGAGATTCCCATTGACATATCTGTTCTCAACAACATGCGTCAGTTTGTGAAATTTAGCCGCCTCAAGCAATTCGCTCTAAGGGTAATCAAGAACAAAGATTTGTGTTTCATTTGAGGTTTTGATATATTTTTTTTAATTATCTTATGATTTCTTTTCTTGGGTTTAGGCTTTGGCAACAACACTTGATGAGGAAGAATTGGCTGATCTTAGAGACCAGTTTGATGCTATTGACGTTGATAAGAATGGAGCTATTAGCCTTGAAGAGATGAGACAGGTAATATTGTAAATATAAACTATATAAGCTTCTCAATCACTAACACAAAATGCGACCAACCAAATACTATAAACTTGACATTAATTCATTTTTCTATTAGGCTCTTGCGAAAGATCATCCATGGAAGCTTAAAGATGGAAGAGTTGCCGAGATTCTTCAAGCGGTATGTATGTGAATTTGTAGCTCTGATGAGATTCATCAGTCTGAATGAGCTAAAAGTTGTGTTTGTCTCATGCAGATTGATAGCAATACAGATGGTTTTGTGGATTTCGAAGAGTTTGTTGCTGCTGCGTTACACGTAAACCAATTAGAGGAGCATGATTCTGAGAAGTGGCAACAGAGATCAAGAGCAGCATTTGAGAAATTCGACATAGACGGAGATGGATTTATAACAGCCGAGGAACTTCGGATGGTAACATATTATATTACATACTATCATATATATATATGTGTTTCTTATATAAGTAATTATTAATGTCACACTATTAAAGTGTTTTTATTTGTTTCTTTTTGCAGCACACTGGCTTGAAAGGATCCATTGAGCCACTTCTTGAAGAAGCAGATATTGATAATGATGGTAAAATCAGTCTCCATGAGTTCCGTAGACTTTTGAGAACTGCAAGTATCAAATCAAGAAATGTTAGAAACCCTCCTGGTTATCTTATAACTCGGAAGGTCTAAATTAAAGAAGTTTGCAGTATTGAAAAGGAACGAGAGTAATCAAAATCAAAGAAGTTTTTGAAATTTTTGTATAGAAAGAAAAAAAAAGGCTGGGGATTGGAGAGTGTTACGTTTTGATGTGTTGTTGTAACATATTTTCATTAAAAAAATTTATAAACAATGACAAAGAAATCGATATTCGTACAGAAAGTTAGAACAATGCATGATGTAGTGATGAGTTTATTATGAAACACGTGCTTGTGATTTATGGTTTGAGTTAATGTGCAAGGAATTAATTAGTTCTTGTGTGTTTATTATGAAGATTAGATCAGAAGAAGACATAACAAAATCGTTATTATCATCAACAGAAATGAAATATGCATTAATGTATCTCGACAAAAAGAAGAATGCATTGTATTTGGCATGTTTTATTGGAGTGTCAAAAGAGCGCTTGTTAGGTGTTAGTGTGAGAGAGATGGCACACGCAAATGCCAAACCATGTTTGAATACTTTTTTGTGGTGTTTAGAGATTAGAATGATCAGATTTAGGTTGAAGTGGACCATCAAGAGAGACAGAGAGCAACTCATTTCGGATTAAGTTGGTGAATAAAATAAACAAAAAAAAAATTGTGGGATTCAGAATTCATGATTCAGTTGATTAGATTATCCATTAGATCCGTGTTGATTTGGTGTTTTATTTGGATTCTATCTAAAACAACATACACATCTATAATAATTCAAGGGAAAAAAATAAGCCTTAATAGTAAAATGTGTTATTTACTTCATTCGTTCGCTTTCTCTCAAAAGTTCGTTCGTTCATTTACTTTATTCTTATCGCTTCCTCCAATAAAACTTCCAACTGGATAAGCTTTTTGGCTGACTCAGCTTTAGGAACCGAAAACGACCCGAGCTGACCCGACCCGACCCGGTTCGATTTAGCTAAACCCGACAAGAATCTTTAATCGCACTCACGGAATAATTAAGTTAAACTAACAATTAACGTCTAATCTCACCTCTTCTCCTATAAATTAAACCTCCTCTTTGTTTGTTTAGCTCCCTCCTCTCAATCACACTGCATTTAACCAAATCGGAACTTTCCAAATTAAAAAACCTCCACCGTCTCAAGATGCTCTCTTCTTCTTCTCCAACCTTCTTCGCTCCTCCATTTCTGTCCTCTTCTTCTTCTTCTTCTCCGCTACTCCCCCCTGTTTCACCACCGTCTCGCATTTCCCGGAGCTCACCATCTCTCTCTGCCACCGCTTCCTCCTCCTACACCTGCGCTGAGGAATCCCCGAGATTGCGCCAGATCCCTCAGCGATTGTCACTCTACGAGATCCTTGAGATTCCGGCCAGCTCGACGAGCCAGGAGGTCAAGTCGGCTTACCGGAGGCTAGCCAGGATCTGCCATCCCGACGTCGCTGGAAACGGTCGAAATCGCTCGTCGGCGGACGATTTCATGAAGATCCACGCGGCGTATTGCACGCTTTCTGATCCTGAGAAACGCGCCGTTTATGATCGGATGAGCCTTCGTCCTTCCCGGCCGTTGACTGTCGGTGTCTCTGGTTTCGGTAGTTACGGCGGACGAAATTGGGAAACTGATCAGTGCTGGTAGCGAGTTGACTCGGTTGTCGAGTTGACCTTAACCCGAACCAGTGCAATTAAGATTTATTTTTTCTTTCTTTTTTTGGTTGTAAATTAGTCCAAAACCCAGACACTAATCGATTGTAAATGATAAAGTCTGGGGTCATTTTAGCTTAACGTTGTATAATTAGTTACTTAACGTTGTAATAATGAGTGTGAATGTGTGATAATAATATTCACCGATCAGCAACGTTTAACCGTGCCACGTAGGATCAACACGTATTTGTCAACTGTGAGTCCTAGTACAAACGTAATAAATGAACAGAAGAAGAAGTATATGTTCTTGTAGAACACGAATTACATAAACTAATTTGCACCGACTAAAATTAGCTAAAATATGTAGTCTTTAAGAGAGACAGGTTTTTTTTTTTTTTTTTTTACCGACAATTTTTTACATACGCAACTCATAGCAGTTGTTGTTATTCATAGCGTTTATAATGAACATTCGCATTGAAAAAAACTCGAGCAGCTGGTTGTTTATGCTTCCATTTTGTGAACGTTACTAATGTAAACATTAGTATAATACTAATTTGTAAAGACGTTACAATCGCATACCGTGAATTCTGATGTATGTGAAACATTTATATAAATAATGAATGTCTGGTTCAGCAGATTTTTGCAGACGTTTTGCTACATATAATGGAGCGTTACTGACATGGTTTCAAATAAAATATTGATACTATGAACCATAAACAATCGTTTATTTTAAACGTTGCTTACATGTTCTTTAATAAAAATAAAAACAAAAATTTGTCGACACTTTGTTACATTCTTTGTACAACTTAATTTCAAAGGTTTAGTTATTTTTCTTTCTATTTTCTTGTCATATACTGGTAAAAGATGCCAATACGAGATTCTTTTCTTCTCTTCATGATCACGATAATGTATGAAACACTCTTGTTTCAAGATGCCATGTTAACAATTGCATCCAAAATCAAATATTCTCTTCACACGAAATATAAGCTTTTATATGAAATAGTTAATTATTCATGTTCTTAGTCCATACTTCTGACTGAGCCTTTATTAGAAAAATTAGGTAGTTGATAAAAAAAAAAAACATCATTACAGAAACAAACATTTCGTCATCAACTTGAACGTTGAATGTGATAGAAGACACGTATTTAAGTGAACCACTTTACCCGTTGCATCACGTAAGTTTTCGAAATCTGTTGAATTGCTAATTGCGTTGCTCTTATGTCTTCAACAATATGAAAAACAGTTTTCAGAACGAAAAAAAATGCTAAAAACTAAAAAAAGAAATATGTATGTTAAGTATTCTTTAGCCTTTAGGTAATCGAAGCATATTAAAAAGTTCATGGATATCTAACAAAAATCAGTGCGATTAAAACAAAATAAGTTTAGTTTAGCCTGAACTAATAAGTAAATCCGTTAATAATACTATATCGCTCAAATGATGAAGCTATGCTCTCCGCCAACTTTTGGAAAGAGAAGATTGGTGCCATGCGACCCCTATATCATATTAATAGAAACAAAAAATAGGTCCATTAATTTATTGTTCATAAGGTAATTGGTATGTTTCTTTTCCTTCCTTCCAATATGGAACTGTAGTCAGTTACTTAACAATGTACAGTGGGGTCTAGCCTTTTGCCTTCTTCCCTCCTTTGCTCTTAGATTTTTTTCTGCCTTATATTCCACAAGATATAGTTATTATTTGATGATATTTATACCTTACTAAAAGATGACTGATATTTCTTTCGATACACTGATTTATCCAACAGCATACGATAAATAAAGTTACAATCAAAAGGTGGTTGTTGTTTAAGTTATTAAGTCTAACTGAGCAAGTTATCAGAATTAGTTAACGTTTGTAATTCATACTAGTCTAGATTTTGGCTAAAAAATCACTTACTTTACATCTATTGTTTACCAGCTTTGATAATGCCACGCAAATTATGGAGGTTGTTTTCACAAGAGAATATAAGTTAATCCAGTCGATAAGTTGACAAAAGTTCGCTTTTATAAAATCGACATATTTAAATGAAATGTGTCGCCCCACTAAAATAAACATGGTTTAATAAAACAATTCCTAAAGGATGTGTATCTAGAAGAAGAGGCCAATTCAGTATGCAATATCATTTCCATTTTTGGGTTTAGTTTACATTTTATAAATTTAACCCTAGCGAAATAGTAACATCAACATTGAGTCAAAAACCAATAAGAATTATCGAAAACTTCAGTAGCAAAAAAAAACTTCAATCTAGTAACAGTACACTAAGTAACACTTCCTAAATATTATTCCGATACTATCTAAGACTATGGTGGGACCTTGTGTGGATCCAAAGTAAACTCACGTTGCGAGACTTTAGATCTTGTCGTTATACATTTCTTAGATATTGGGAGCTTTTTTTAACAACATGTCTATGTCAGTCTGTCAGATCGATGTCGGGAGTTGATGGTACTGTACTACTTACTGTTCAGTAATTCTTTTGTTTTTATATAAAGAATGAAATAATAATGACCTTCTAGAAGCCAAAGAGGCAGGTTTTTGTATATCAGTTTTGCTCAGTTCTTTAACAAATACTTAAATAGATAGGCCCAATTCAGATGCTGAACCATGGGCCAACTAATAAATCGTAAGATAAGATAAGATAAGGCCTGATTCAAATACACACGTGGTAACTGCCACCGATAGATAAGGGAGGTGACGTGGCGAAGTTATGGTCAAAATCAAAATTAGGGCTTAAACAGATCTCGCGATTTTGGGATTTCGTTTTACCCATTTCGGTTGTTTCAACGGTTTCGAGTTTTTCTTGCTTCTTCTTTATCTGATCTAATGGCGCATGACGATCAATCGGCGGAGAGATCGACCGGGAAGGTGAATTGGTTTAGCAATGGGAAAGGCTATGGCTTCATTTCTCCCGATGACGGCGGAGAGGAGCTCTTTGTTCATCAGTCTTCAATCGTCTCCGATGGTTTCCGGAGCTTGACTGTTGGTGAACCGGTCGAGTACGAAATCACGTTGGCAAATGACGGGAAGACTAAGGCCGTCAATGTCACTGCTCCCGGCGGCGGTTCTCTCAATAAGGAATTCAGCTCCCGAGGAAACGGCGGCGGGTGTTTCAGTTGCGGTGAAGTCGGCCATATTGCGAAGGATTGCGGTGGAGGCGGTGGTCGCAGATCCGGCGGTGAAGTTTCTTGCTACATGTGTGGCGGTTTGGGACACATCTCTAGGGATTGCAGGCAGAACGCCGGTGGAAACGTTGGAGGCGGCGGAGCGTGTTACAATTGCGGAGAGGTTGGTCACATGGCTAAAGATTGTCGTGGTGGTTCCGGTGGGAACAGATACGGAGGCGGTGGCCGTGGATCTGGCGGTGATGGATGCTACTTGTGTGGCGGTGTTGGGCATTTCGCTAGGGAGTGCAGGCAAAACGCCGGTGGAAATGTTGGAGGCGGCGGTGGAAACACTTGCTATACCTGTGGTGGTTTCGGCCACATGGCGAGAGTTTGTACCAGCAAGAGACAGTCTGGTGCTGGTGCTGGTCCTTGTTACGAATGTGGTGGAATTGGCCACTTGGCTCGTGACTGTGATCGGAGAGGAAGTGGAGGAGGAAGCGGCAGTGTCAAGTGTTTCACCTGCGGCAAGGAAGGTCACTTTGCAAGGGAATGCTCTTCCCTTGCGTAACAAGAAGTAGAAAAGAAGACGTAATGTTCATAAACCTCTTTGTTTTCTATGAATCTTCATGATCCATTTGTTTTTCTTCGTTATGCAAAAACTGCTCCTTTTTTGGTGACTATAATGTGATGACTAGAGTCGTTTAGGATGATGTTTTTGAATGTTTCTTGGGAGTTTCAGATCTTGTGTATTGGTCTTATAACTGGTTCTTGCAAACCTATTCAGTATTCACTGCTTTTGTTGATACCATAACCCAAAAGTTTGAGACTTGAATGATATGTGTGATTGCTTTAGTTACAGTTTCTCGTCTTTCTTTACGATGAGTGTGATGTGATTGTCACTTCCGTATACAAAGAATGGAAGTTGCTATTAACTAGTGATGCATTTCCGCAAACTTGCTAGAGATCAGTTCCAGTTCTTGCTCTGTTCCTTCTTTTTTGGAGAGCTTGTTCTATTGGAATTCTCAGACCTTGCTCTCTCTGAAACGGGCAATAGCTAAAGAAGAACCTAGCCGGAGAGCGATTGGATTAATTTAGATGAATTGGTTCTTGTTTTAGTTGAAATTCCTGAACAGAGAGGAGACATAGTCAGATCTTGTAGTGCTTATGCTGGTTCTTGGTTTATCTTTCTCTACTAGAGTGAAAGCCCAAAAATGCCTTTGTTACAAAACAGTCAAGTTGCAAATTGCAGTAGAAGGATTTGTTATAAACATGAATGACTCGTAAGTTGTAACAAAGAACAAACCAACCGAGTTGACCCAAACCCAAAACCTCCTTTAATTCTCATACTAGCAACCTAAAACACATGTTTCTTTCCTACCAAGGTCTAATACAGAAGCTAAAAAACAAAAATATTTTTTCTTAACAAAATATGGATCTCTTTCCTCTTCCTCTTCTATAATACCCATTTAGTTCGGGTGTTATTCTGTAAAGAATTTAAAGTATGGTGGTGTTATTCAATTCAGATTTCAAATTATATTGTTGAGATTTTTTAGCATCCTCGTGCATGGATTACTTAAAAACAAATATCAACATTTTAAATTTTAAAGATTTAGAAAATCTAGAATTGATTTTAAATCTAGGATTGATTTTAATATCTATTTCTTAAATGGAAGATCGATCCACAAAATAGCATAACAATCAAAATGTTGAAAAACATAAAAGGAAACTCAATAAAATAACTTAATTCGTATCTATATAATAATCCCCATATTCTTATTACAAACTTGATGAGAATATATAAACTCTCTCTTTAACCATTCTGACTAGTCTCATCCGAGCAATCATCAAACCTCCGGTGAATCTCTTTTCAAACATGGTTTTGGCTAAAGTCTCATTCTTTCTCCTTATAATTCTATTTCTCATCAATGGATCTTCCTCCACCACCTTCACCGTCGTTAACCAATGTAGCTACACCGTCTGGCCGGGACTTCTCTCCGGTGCCGGCACAGCTCAGTTACCAACCACAGGTTTCTCCCTAAACTCGTCTGAGGCACGTGTCATCTCCATGCCCGCCTCTTGGTCCGGCCGCATATGGGGTCGAACGCTCTGCAACCAAAACGCCACCACCGGGAAATTCACTTGCGTCACCGGCGACTGCGGTTCATCTAAAATCGAATGCTCCGGCGCCGGAGGCATCCCTCCTGCTACACTAGCCGAATTCACACTCAACGGCGCCGGTAATCTCGATTTTTACGACGTGAGCCTCGTGGACGGTTACAACGTCCCAATGACGATCGTCCCTCACGGCGGAGCAGCTGGTGTGGGTAACTGCAAGGCCACGGGTTGCGCGGTGGATCTCAACAGCTTGTGTCCGGAAAAGCTTAAAGTAACGGTTGAAACCGCGGCTGGAGTTGCGGTGGCGTGCAAGAGCGCTTGCGAAGCGTTTGGAACGCCGGAGTATTGCTGTAGCGGCGCGTTTGCAACGCCGAACACGTGTAGGCCGAGTGAGTACTCTGGTCTCTTCAAAAAAGCTTGCCCGACGGCTTATAGCTACGCTTATGACGATGGCACAAGCACCTTTACTTGCTCCGGCGCAGATTACCTCATCACTTTCTGTCCTGCTCCTTCTCCAAGGTATGTATTTTTGTTATTAATTTTACGAAATAAAGGAAATTGATATTTTAAAATTAATCATTCAATTTTGATTAGCTTTCAATTTAAAAAATCAATTATTTCAATATTTTTGAATATTTTTCATAGATTTCGTAACGGATTTCTTTTTAAATCGAAGGCAATACTTTTTGTTTCCATCATTAAAACACATATACTTATTTGTCCCTTGGAATGTTTTGTTTTCTTCTACATTGGATGATTACTAACATTTTTTTGTTTATTATTTTTGTTTCAGTTTGAGAGGCATATAGGAGTCCCAACAGGAGGCAGTTCCGCTTCTTAGCTCGCCGCGTCACCTATATTCTCAGACGTTTTCATCTTGCGTTTTGGCTGTTGCGGTTTCTATGCTGGGGAGTGGTGGACGTTTCACGTTTGTGTTATCAATACCGCCCCAACTTTTTTTTTTCAGTTCTTTTATATTTTAGTTTATGTGATTGTTTTTGTCGAGATTATATAGATTTAATGGAAGAAACATAGAAGTGATTGTTTTTTTTTCTATCTTAAAATAAAAGAATTACATAATTCAAAAAACTCTTCGCAGGTTATGTACTCCATAGAAAACTACCCGAGTATTTCTCTGGATAATCATGTTGAGATAGTAGATAACGGAAGACACAAGTTACACTTATGTCCGATTTAGACATAAGTCATAGTCGAAGATGAAAAAAATAAAATAACAAGTATGCTTTGTTATAAACATGAATGACTTGTAATTCGTAACAATTAACAAACCAACCGAGATGATCTCTCTTAACACCCCAAAGATTCTAATATCGTTGACCCAACCTCATAATAGTAATTCCTAAGACACATGTCTCTTTATTTCCCATAATAGTAACCTAAGACGCATCGCATGTCCTAAACTTTCCCATTATAGTAACTTAAGACACATGGAGTCAGACACATGTCCTTTCTTTCCCATAATAGTAACCTAAGACGCATGTCCTTTAATTTACTACCAATGCTCAAAACAAGAGGAAAAAAAATCAGAACTTTTTCCTTAAAGAGCTTTCTCCTCTTCTATAAAACCTATAGTTCTAATTTCTACTTTTAATATGGAAGATCATCGAAAAATATATTTGAATATATATGGGAAAATGATATCTTTCCTAGTTTGATAAATATCAATTTGTAAATCTTCCTGTTCTTAGCGATGTATTATATTGAACATTCTTATACTCACAATTTGTCAAAACAGCATAGAAATCAAAATCTTAAAAAACAAGAAAAAGGAAATTCAGTCAAATGACTTTATATTCGTAATTTCTGTTTTAGAAGTATATCAATGAACATGTAAATATGGGACAATGGGATTTATGAAACTTTCGATTACATTTACACAAATCTATTGAATGTTCCCCAAACCTATCTCTGTATATATAAATACTCCCTAACTTCTCCTTTAACCATACAACTCTCGCACAAAACAATCATTAAACCTCCGGGGACTCTCTGCTCGCTCAGAAATGGGTTTTGCTAAAGTCTCTTCCATATTCCTTGTCGCTCTATTTCTCATCAATGGCTGTTACTCCACCACTTTCACCGTCGTTAACAAATGCAACTACACCGTCTGGCCAGGACTTGTCACCGGCGACGTAACTACTAATTTCCCGGAACCCTCCGGTTTCACCTTAAACACTGGCGAGTCGCGAAGCATCTCCATACCCTACGGCTGGGCCGGCCGCCTATGGGCTCGAACGCTCTGCAACACCACCGGGGCATTCACTTGCGTCACTGGCAACTGCGGCTCATCCACAATCGAATGTTCCGATGCCGGATCCATCCGTCCGGCGACAGTAGCCGAATTCACACTCAACGGCCCCGGAAATCTTGATTCTTACGACGTCAGCCTCGTCGACGGTTTCAACGTCCCAATGACGATCATCCCTCGCTTAGGAAAACCCGGTGTCGGTAACTGCACCGTCACTGGATGCCCGACCGATCTCAACGCGGTGTGTCCGGATAGGCTGAAAGTACCAGCGGAAGTTGGTGGAGCGGCCGTGGCGTGCATGAGCGCTTGCGTGTTGTCTGGAAAGCCGGAGGATTGCTGTAGCGGAGCGTTTGGAACGCCGGACACGTGTAAGCCAAGTAACTCCTCTGCTTTCTTCAAAAAAGCTTGCCCTAGAGCTTATAGCTACGCTTATGAAGCCGGCACAAACACCTATACTTGTTCCGACGCAGATTACCTCATCACTTTGTGTGCTCATACTTATTCCCCAAGGTATACTTTTGTTATTAAATTTTACGAAATGAGGACATAAAATCTGCGTAAATATTATAACGATTCTTTTTTTCTGTAGATATATACTTTTTGTTCATACATCATACACGTCTCTTGAAACGCTTTTTTGTTTTTTGAATGATTTGTATTTATTTTGTTACTTATTGTGCAAATGGTTGCACAATTAGAGGAATAAAATTAGAGTAATTAAACATTCATCTAAAAAAATTACCATTTGAGATAAAAGTAGTGAAATACATGCAATCTCTCTGGTTTACTACTTATGAGGAATGAATGAATAACTTTGTTTCTCTATTATGTATCTATATTCCAACTAATCACTATTCGATCTTCTTATGTCTAGTCTACTAATTCTTGTATTGATAACCATTTGTAATTGTTTTTTTCAGTCCACCTAGAAGTTCCCAACCGGACTTTAATAGCGTTTCTACCGCTTCTTCTCTGGCCGCGTCAGGTACAATATTCTCAGTTGCGTTCTCATTATGCGTTTTGGGTGTTGCGCGGTTCCTATGATGAGGAGTGGTGCAGTTTTCTGGTATCAATACGACGATTTTTCTTTTTCATTTACATTTTGGTCTTATTTTCATTTTGTTTGGGATTTGGTCGATATAGCTTCTCTATCGACCTTGATTTTCCTTTTTTCTTTTATGTTCGTTTATCTAAGGCTCTCTAAATCGAGATCCTATGTTAAATTTTGATCACTTTTGAAATTAATAAAGAATAGCTAACCTTAGTTACCCATAAACCAAAAAGACTTGGTTCATTCTAGTTTTTATTTTAGTTTATACAATTGTGACTATAGATTTTTTTTCTCGAAAAAGAAACATTGATGTTAAATTGAGATTACAAAGTCCATATGCAAATTTGCCTAATCAAAATGATCCCAATCCCCGTAAATTTGAGTTGTGATTTGCACTTTTGTGAAAAAGGCTAATTTCCTATCCAATGATCAAAATGAAAAAGAAAAAAAAAAAAAAAAAAGAGTTAAAAGAATGCCAGGAATTGTGACACTATTTGCACTTTTGTGAGCATTCTTTAATGTACTTTCACTTTCACTTACCAAACCTATCTCCAAACTATCCCATAACAAAAGTGTCGTTTTTTTAGTACAAAAATACAACAGGTAATGAATCCAACGGCGGATATGCCACGTATACACACACATCCGCCGCCAAAATGAAAACAGAGTACTCTAATCCAACGGCGGCTTGCAGCGGATTCAACACGAATAAATTTTGAACTAAAGTATCTACAATTTAAACTGATTCTTGTTGAGTCTTTGAGGCAGAAACAAAATGGTTGATTCTCACGTTATAAGATCCTTTCTTCTTCTTCTTCTCACTATCTCTCTTCATTTCCTTCGCACGAGTCCATCAATCTCAAAACCAGAAGTTATTACTATCGATGTGAGCCAAGCAAAGAAACTTCTTCATGATGGCTTCACTTTTCTCGATGTGAGGTAAAGTTTAAAACATTTTCATATTCAGACACGCCTTTTTTTTCATTGTTGTTCGGTGATTTATGAAATTTGAGTGGTTTTAAAACAGAACTGTTGAAGAATTCGAGAAAGGCCATGTTGATTCAGATAAAGTCTTCAATGTTCCTTACTGGTTCTATACTCCAAATGGTCAAGAAAATAACCCATATTTCTTGATGAATGTCTCATCTCTCTGTAACCAAACCGATCATATCGTCGTGGTAATAACAAAGTTTTGTCCTAATCATGAGGAAGAATATTTATATATCCCACGTTAACTCACTTCACAAGTATTTGAATCTGAAATCTGTTGTAATAATCTTCTTTTTCTAGGGATGTAAATCTGGAGTTAGATCTTTATATGCTACCAAACATCTTCTTTCTTCTGTAAGTACCAAAAGATTCAAGACTCTTAAAAGCCTCTTTTTTTGTTAACATGTTTCTTCTTCGAATCTATATGAGCTTATTTTTTATGAGATCTAATGTGACTTTTTGATTAATGTGCATGACAGGGCTTCAAGACTGTAAGAAACATGGACGGTGGTTATATTGCTTGGATCGACAAGAGATTCCCAGTTAAAGTGGAACAAATGGAACTCAAGTACGATGAGCTCTGATTCAGATGATCCAAACAAAATCTTGTTGAATTAGTTTCGTTAATTACATCTACAATCGTTAATTTTACAATATTTTAGCCCTTTAAAAAGTTAGATGGCTCTTTTTTATTTTCTTGCGCCAACGTAATTCCCAAGACAAGAAATGGACCGACATGCGAGGATAATGTCGGATGTCAAAATCAAAGTTAAATTATTGAACCGTGTAACAGCGCGGGAACGATGTCGGTAAGGTTAACTGTTAACCGAACCGGTTTAGACCTGTACACGCGTTACTTACGCGCAACCTCCACGTCTCCATCATCTCTGACAGATACTTAGCTTGGTCACTTTCTTCTTCAAATAAATATCTTCATTTATTATTAATCAGAAACCAATTCCTCCATTCTTCATCATTTTACCTTCTCCGATTTGAATCTCCGGCGATAATGGAATCCCATGGAAACCCAAACGAGAAGCAATCTTCGTCGTCTCTTTACCCCACTGTTGACATGTCGAATCCCGAAGCTCCTCGTAACCCAAGTTCCTCCTCTTCTACTAACAATCTCTATCCTTCGATCGACATGAACGATCTCGCCAGCAATCTCTTCCCTGAGCAACCGGAGACGAGCTCCGTCCCAATCTCGGCTCCTCCGGCAGCGACGGAGGAGGTGATTCTGAGAATCTCCGGCGCGATTCTCCACTTAATCGACCCATCCTACAGCGTCGAGCTCGCTTGCGGCGATCTCGCGATCATCCGTATTGTTCAAGACGGAAATGTCGTCGCCGTTCTCGCTCGCGTCGCCGACGAGATTCAATGGCCGTTGACCAAGGACGAGAACTCCGTCAAGGTCGATGAGTCTCATTACTTCTTCACCCTCCGGCCCACCAAGGGTTTCGGACCTGGCTCGAGCGACGAAGACGAGGACGGAGCGAAGAAGCCTAAGCGGAAGGAAGAAGAGAGCGATATGTTGAATTACGGACTCACAATTGCTTCAAAGGGGCAAGAGCATTTGCTGGAGGAGCTCGAGAAGATCTTGGCGGATTACAGCTGTTTCACGGAGCAGCAAGTTTCAGAGGAAGCGAAGGAAACAGGGGAAAAGGTTTTGGATGTGACGGTGGCGAGAGAGACGTCTCCGGTGGAGCTTACTGGGGAGAGGAAGGAGATTGTGGAGAAGCAATGTGCGGCGTATTGGACGACTTTAGCTCCGAATGTGGAGGATTACAGTGGGAAGACGGCGCAGCTGATAGCAGCTGGCTCTGGTCATCTGATCAAAGGGATCCTCTGGTGTGGAGATGTGACTATGGACCGGCTCAAGTGGGGGAATGATTTCATGAAACGGAGGTTGAGTAAAGGTGAGAAGGAGAGTGATGTTCACCCTGACACCTTGAAAAGAATCAGAAGGTATGTGTTTATGAATGAATGATTTCTCTTCATTGTTGAAATGTGGGGTTTTGATATAAGTCACTCTTGCTTGATTCCATAGAGGTGTGTGATGTTTCTTGTAGCCAGTTTCTGGAATAGGGAAGTGTTTTGTTGAATTGGTAATCTTGAGTTGGATTAGCATTTAGCAGAGAAAAAGAAGTCTATTTATTGAAGCTTTGGGTTTGTTTTTGGCTTGTGTAGAGTGAAGAGGATGACGCAAATGACGGAGAGTGTGGCAAATGGGATTCTGTCTGGAGTGATTAAAGTTTCAGGCTTCTTCACAAGCTCAGTGGCGAACACAAAAGTAGGGAAGAAGTTCTTTAGCCTTCTTCCTGGAGAAATCGTTCTTGCAACTCTTGACGGATTCAGTAAGTCTAACAAATCTTGATTACACTATACATATCCCAACTACTATAAGAGGCTGTCTTTAGATTTGATAAACCGTTGGAAATTTTGATAGATAAGGTATGTGATGCTGCTGAAGTTGCCGGAAGGAACGTCCTGTCAACGTCGTCCACTGTTGCAACCGAACTTGTTGATCACAGGTAAGTGTAACTGAGAGTATTCGGAATTATAATCACTCTGTTTTTCTGGAGATTGAAGTAAATTTATATTTTTTGTGGTGTCTTGATGAATGCAGGCATGGAGGTAAAGCGGCTGAGGCAACAAACGAAAGTCTTGAAGCAGTGGGACATGTGTTTGGGACAGCATGGGCTGCTTTCAAAATCAGAAAGGCTATTAACCCTAAGAGCGTCCTCAAGCCTTCCACGCTTGCCAAATCCGCCATTAAATCTGCAGCTTCTCAAAAGAAAGCCTAAGTAAACAGTACCCACCTGTTGGTTATTGGTTCTGTTTGTTTGTATTGTCTCTCTTGTCTTTGATTCAGCAGTAAAACTGAGAAAAAGTGGTTTGAATTAGTTGTTTGTGAAGTGTTTTTGTGTGATGTAATGCATTGATACGAATGTGTTGGAAGAAAACTTATATTGAAACCAGATTACTGATGATAACCAAATCGAAGATGACTGAACACAAAAGCAAATTAGCTAAGCTTGTTTAATCCTAAACGTAAACATGCACTGGAACAACATGGCAAGCTGATCTTCTCCAAAACTTGAGAGAGTCACAGTAGCTTCACTATAAGCACGAGAAGTGTGATCATTAGATTTAGTTGCTTTGTACGTTGTCAGTTGTATATCGAAACTATCAACGTTCAAGAATCAGAAGATAAATTAAATAACCCCAAAGAAAAACCTAGTCCATAGAATCGCATAGATGGTGATATGTATGTTTTAGTTTGTAGATGCCAAGTCTAGTCGACAAGTACCTAATATTTTATTTTGATTCTTGAACATTGATAGTTTCGATATACAACTGTCGTCCAAATATGGAAACAACAATCTAAAGCGTAAATATATATTCGTATCTGATTCAAGAAACGCAAGAGATTAGTCTATTTTCTAGAATCTGTTACCAAATTAAGGAAAATATAAAATAATGATTTATATAGATAGATACACACACTCGTACACATAGGTGAGGTCCACGCATGAATTTATGAAATAGAAATGTAGAACCAAAAGGGTGATGAATGACTGAGAGAAAATCGAATCAAATGCCCTTTAAGTGTCAAAACCACCAATGGTTACTAAGTGCTTTGTACCACTTAATCTTATCCTCTTATTATATCATATATGCTACATATATATATATATAATATATATATATATATATATATAATCTTTAAACTAGTTGTATAAAAGAGATTTATATGCTTCCAGCATCTTCACTTTAATTTTTGTCCGAGTCTCTCATGTTCTTTTTTCTAAGCAAGAATCGAGCTACTGCTTCAAGAATCAAGATGTTTGTCAGTCCTTTACTATTTTAATTTTGTTTTCAAAATATTTTCGTTCAAACATATATTCATACGATTATCTTACTAGAAGACCGGAGTAACCATGTACTGCAAAACTATCAATTTGTTTTGATAATTCAATGTTTCAACATTTCACGTTCCATTGGCCCTCTTTTAGTTGTAGGAACCTACCACTAGAATTATTGCCAATAAGACGTTTTCAGTGAATAGTCTAATCTTTTGGAATCCGATTTGCTTGGACGAGTTTGCTTCGTTCAGGATATGTTTGAGCTTACATCGCTATATCTTATAGTCAAATGTGTCACAACATGAAATATACTGTCTACAAGTTAACAAAGAGTCTACAGTCTTTTGACATATAAGACAACGAACTATTTGTTTATTTCAGTAATTCGTAATTTCGTATTGTCATTTTCAACGTTAATGGTTAATATGCAGCAAAGATCCCTATCATTAATGTTATCAACTTACTAGAATATTGTTTAGAGCATAAACCATTCTAATACCTAACTAATTACTAATTAGATTAGTATGCGTATTACTATTAAAAAGCTGTTTATATCCCACAGGTTGATTATTTATGATCAACTTGCCCTTTGTGGCATTGTCTCCACAACCACTAATGACCAAAGAGCACACAATGTTATCAAAAGACTTTATTAAACCATATCCATACATATCCGTATGTATATAAAATTAAGTGCAATGCTTATAAGACTTTTGAGGATTTGACGATTTACAGGTTTCACTAACCATGCATGCACATTTCTTTTTTTAAGTAGACATCATTACCATTCACCTTAAGTCTTCTTAATAGTCCCTTTTGAGATTTTCTCTAGATTTTCAAATCTTTTTCCTTTGGATTGTGATCTCATTTGTTATTGATTTGATGCTAAAGTTAGATTTGAATCTTGCCTTTAAACACAAATGACAAACGAAATTCTTCTATCAGATTTAGATTTCAATCTCGGAGTATGTTTCTATACATAAATACTAGATATGTAAGAGATACCTTACAGATTTTGAAATTTAGACTGAGAAGAGTGTAGTTGACTCAGTTGAGTAAGCAAGAAAAACAATAGTTATAGCTAATTAGATAAACTGATTAATTATCTTTCAACACAGAAATATCTCAATGTAATTATGAAAGAGGAGTCATGTATAACATTTGTTACTTTTTTACCAAATTCTCGGGTAGTTAATATCACCGACTACGCTTTATAGATTTGTTACTTGATCATGAAGCTCCAACAGATTCTTACTGAACTTTGGTCAAAATTAATCATCACCGTGATATGATGACAATTTTTTTTTTCTTTTCAACAATGGCAATTTAACCTTAGAATCCCATGTATAGAGGTAACTTTTCTAGAAAGAAAGGCATTAACAAACGAAAACACGAACTGAATTAAGCTGTTAACGAACAAAACCACACCGAAATAGTTCAAATTTGAGTTTAATTTACTAAAAACAAATCAACTGACCAGACTAATAGAAACTTCTAAAAAAAACGAACAAACAGAAAATTAATTTTTTTGTGGTAAGTGTGTCATCAGCATCACAAAGCGCTTTGAGCTTTTTGTTTTACTATACAAACTTTTTCACAACTTATATATAAGTTACACTTAATGTGGTAACAATTATCTTTCCAATACCATTCACTTTTTTTTTTTTATATAAAAATTAAAATATACGGAATCAGATAAATACTGAAATCAATTTTCTCTTTTATTATATTCTTTTAGTAACTTAATTTTATATATCCGTACAAAATGGCGGCCAAATACTTACTTTAAAATACATATTTCTGCTTATCCTGTAACTGACTAAGTAAAAGACAAAACTCTAAAGTCTAAACAGCAAATCACAAAGCACAGATCTTTAAAACCTTCTGAGAAAGAGACAACTCAAAGTTAGGTCCTTCAATAAATTATATTTATTGATATCTTCATTACATTTTGTTTTTCTTCTTTAAAATTATAAAGTATAAAAATCTGGAAAATTCCTTTCAAATCCGTACATCCTCTGTATTTTCTGTGGACCTGAAGCCAAATATCCAAATTGGCCATTTTACCTTCTACACATTCCCACTGGCCAAATTCGAACCATCAATCGCAGACCACTTTCCCCAAATCTTGCTTTTTCCGTTTATTTGATTTCGTTGAAAAGAAGAAAGATTTCGTCTTTCTGTATATTCTCTATATAAATTGAAACAATCTTGCTTCATTCTCAATTCTTCAGTCTATCTTAATCTTGAAGCTTTGCAATTCTTTTGTTCATGGGTTTCTCATTTTTCTACTAAAATAATAAACCTTTTTTTTTGGGTATTGATCAAAAAGTGGGGAGTGACACAAGAAGCAGTATTAGTCATTAAGCTTCCACTAAACAAAGCAAAGCACCCAAAGTCACCAACAACAACAACACAGCAACAAAGACCCAACATGTGTCTTCATTTCTGAACAAACATGAGAGGAGATAGCTTCTCAGTGAGTATTGAGAGTCTTCCTGATTCTCCAATGGGCTCGCAGAAGAAGATGAGCAAGATGTTCGATAAAATGTCTGAATGGGTTACCCCTTGGAGAAGCAAGTCAGAGACGCCAAGAGAGACAAGGATTCTGCGTGGAGATGTCGAACAAGAACAGTTTCAATACGCAAGTAGTCACTGTTTGTCATCTTACTACAGTGTCTTTGTTGTTCGTCTCGCTATAATGGTTACTCTTCTCTCTCAAACTCAATTTTGTTCTCTGTTTTGGCTTGTTTAGTTTATGATCAAACCTTAAAACTAATCACTTGATGAGAAAGTTTGAAGCTTTGTGTAACTTAAGAGGTGTGTGTGTGTGTGTGTTTGTGCAGGTGATGCTAGCGATTCTGATAGGGCTTTTGACCATTCTAACATGGCATTTCACAAGGGTTTACACAAAGCAGTCCCTTCAAACTTTAGCATATGGTCTTCGATACGAGCTTCTTCAGCGACCAATCTTACGGATGTGGAGCGTTCTGAACACAACATCCGAGCTAACAACAGCTCAAGTCAAGCTCTCTGAGTACGTCATCAAGAAATATGACAAGCCAACAACTCAAGAAGAACTTGTTGAGGTTTCATTTCTCTGTTTTCAAAGTCAATTCTTTGTGGTCCTCTGTTTGGTTTTGAGATGCTTTAATTATTCCTTTTTGTTTAACTTTAATCAGATGTATCAAGCAATGAAAGATGTGACATGGGCTCTGTTTGCTAGTGCCAAAGCTCTAAATGCCATAACCATAAACTACAGAAACGGATTTGTCCAAGCTTTCCACAGAGATCCAGCAAGTAGCAACACATTCTACATCTTCTCCGATCTGAAAAACTATTCCATCAGTGAAACAGGTCTTGACGATGTGAAAATGTCACTGGGGCATGGGTGGAACAACCAGACAATACACGGGAACATGTCTGCCATTTGGTACCAGCAACAGCTTGATCCAATAACAGGTGTTAAAATAGGAAAGCCTCATCAAATCCCACCGGACGATCTCATCAGCATCGCAGGAATCTCACAAGTGCCTGACGGTGAAGCTTCTTGGCACGTGACAGTGAGCAAATACATGGACTCTCCGCTTCTCTCAGCGGCTTTGCCAGTCTTTGATGCTTCAAACAAGAGTATTGTGGCTGTTGTGGGAGTGACAACTGCACTTTACAGCGTAGGGCAGTTGATGAGAGATCTTGTAGAAGTCCATGGTGGACATATTTATTTGACGTCTCAAGAAGGATACTTGCTTGCTACTTCCACAAACGGTCCTCTTTTGACGAATACCTCAAAAGGGCCTCAGCTAATGAAAGCCATTGATTCAGAGGAGTGGGCTATAAAGGCAGGAGCTCAGTGGTTAGAGAAGACTTATGGGAGTAACCGTCCTCACGTTGTTCATGCTGAGAATGCAAGGCTTGGTGACCAACAATATTACCTTGATTCGTTCTTGCTTAATCTCAAGAGACTTCCAATTGTAAGTTTTTCACTATCAGGATTTTCTATTGAATTTCCAGAGTTGAAGATGTTTGATTTTCGGTTTTACGCATATTTTGCAGGTAGGTGTTGTCATTATTCCCAGGAAGTTTATTATGGGGAAAGTGGATGAAAGAGCCTTCAAGACTTTGGTTATACTGATTTCTGCTTCTGTCTGCATATTCTTTATTGGATGTGTCTGCATATTAATCCTCACAAATGGAGTCTCAAAGGAGATGAAACTAAGAGCAGAGCTGATTAGGCAACTGGATGCTAGAAGAAGAGCTGAGGCTTCAAGCAACTACAAAAGCCAGTTTTTGGCTAATATGAGGTTGATCCATGTTCCTACAATATCTTTTCTACAAGAGAAGCTTCTGTAGATTATGTAATGAGTTTTTTTTTGCAAATTTTTGCATTGTAGCCATGAGTTGAGGACACCTATGGCTGCAGTGATTGGATTGTTAGATATTCTAATATCGGATGATTGTCTTTCAAATGAGCAATATGCAACAGTCACTCAGATCAGGAAGTGCTCTACAGCTCTCCTCCGGCTTCTCAACAACATACTGGACTTGAGCAAGGTCAGAAATTTACAAGACAAGATCTTTTGTTTGTTTTTGATATATGTATACCAAACAATTAGCTGTTTCATGTAACTAGCAGCTACACACTGTCCTCTGATTTCTTCCTTTTCCGCGCCATAGGTTGAGTCTGGAAAACTAGTTCTGGAAGAAGCTGAGTTCGATTTGGGACGAGAACTTGAAGGACTTGTTGACATGTTCTCAGTGCAGTGTATTAACCACAATGTAGAGACAGTTCTAGACCTCTCTGGTATGACTCGGTTTTATATTTTAGACAGCCAATGATGAATGTTCATTAAAACGAAACCTCAGGTTATGATTTATCTTTTTACAGATGATATGCCAACATTAGTCCGAGGAGACTCAGCAAGACTTGTTCAAATTTTCGCAAATCTTATAAGCAACTCTATAAAGTTTACAAGTAGTAAGTATTGCTACCATCTTCTCTTGTAATTCATGACAGAGATGATATTGCTTATCTTAAAATGATGGTTTTTATTGCAGCTGGTCACATTATTCTTCGTGGATGGTGCGAGAACATGAATTCTCTACAAGATGAGATGAGTTTAACTGCTGACAGAAAGAAACCATGGGCTCCACTGAAGACGAAACTGGTGCACCACAGGAATCATTCACTGAAATCTTGTAAGAACGAGAACAAAATGGTTCTTTGGTTTGAGGTTGATGACACTGGATGTGGTATGACACTTGAGTTCCTTAATATATATTCCTTTGATAACCCCTTCATTTGCAATCTGAAGCTGACTTTGTATAATTTATTTCTGCAGGAATAGATCCAAGCAAATGGGACTCTGTGTTTGAGAGCTTTGAGCAAGCTGATCCTTCTACCACTCGGACGTAAGTGATTATGATTAAGTGAACACAGTAATTGTACAAGCAAAAATATGTTGTGAGTTTAAATCTTTAACCTCACTGGTCTTGTATATCTTCAGGCACGGAGGAACTGGACTTGGACTGTGCATCGTGCGAAACTTGGTTAGTGAAATCACTGGAACTTTATAACTTGATGAGTCTTAGAGACAATCAAAATATCTAAAACCTTCTAATGTAATGTTAAAGGTAAACAAGATGGGTGGAGATATCAAGATAGTACAGAAGAATGGCTTAGGGACTATAATGAGACTCTACTTGATTCTGAGTATTCCTGACAATGCGGATCAAATCTGCCAGCCAGATTTCTCCAAGTACGGTCTCGTGGTATGTAGCATTCGAGAAAGAAATCAATACGAACGCATCATGAACTAAAGCTTCTGTGTTTTGTGAGCGTGTGCTTTTGGTTTTGAATGAAACAGGTTTTGCTTGCAATGTCTGGAAGCACAGCAAGAATGATCCAATCAAAGTGGCTTCGTAAACACGGCATTGCGACCGTTGAAGCATCGGACTGGAACGAGCTGACAAAGGTAATTAGAGACCTCTTCGAGACAGGAAGCCGTGGCAACAGCTTTGACTCGCACCACAACATCGCTGAGTCACTGAGAGCAGAGCTCTCGAGTATACAAGAAATCAAGAACCCTGCGTTCGTCATAGTTGTTGACATCGGAGTTCTTGATCTCACCACAGATATATGGAAAGAACAGCTCAACTACCTCGACAGATTCTCGGGCAAAGCAAAGTTCGCTTGGCTGCTGAAGCATGACACCTCCAATACTGTCAAAACAGAGCTCAGACGAAAAGGTCATGTCATGATGGTTAACAAACCCTTGTACAAGGCGAAGATGATCCAGATTCTTGAGGCTGTGATCAAGAACAGGAAGAGAGGGTTTTGTAACAGAGGAAACGTAAGTGATGAGTCTCACGACTGTTTAGAGATTGATCCAACACAGTTTGACACATGCAGCTCCGATGATTCCTCTGAGACGTCCGGCGATAAATCTGTGAAACCAAGCACGTTGCATTCTCCAGTGCTTAAGAACTACCTCCTTGACATGACCAAAAGCAACGATGAAGACTCAACAACATCTGAAGCAAGTACGACGACTCAGAAGAAGAAGCAAGAAGAAGAACAAGACTGGAAAGATCGAAGTAACCGGCTGTATTCAGGAGTTGCCTTGGATGGCAAGAATCAGAAATCTCTTGAAGGTATAAGGATCTTGCTAGCGGAAGATACACCTGTTCTTCAACGAGTAGCCACCATAATGCTTGAGAAAATGGGAGCAACCGTAACCGCGGTTTGGGATGGACAACAAGCGGTTGATGCTCTCAACTACAGATCCATCATCAATGCACAAGATCCAACTCAAGAACATAAGACACTGTCAGAAGAAGAAAATCCTTATGACTTGATCCTAATGGACTGCCAGGTACAAATCATATTCCCATCTCAGTCACACACAATTACTTCAACTCTCAGAACTGTAAAGACATTTACATTTCTGATTTCTAATTGCAGATGCCAAAGATGGATGGATATGAGGCAACAAAGGCTATAAGAAGAGCAGAGATTGGCACAGAGCTTCACGTTCCAATTGTGGCATTGACGGCTCATGCAATGTCTTCTGATGAAGCCAAATGCTTGGAGGTAGGAATGGATGCTTATCTCACTAAGCCTATTGACAGAAAGCTTATGGTCTCAACCATTTTATCACTCACTAAACCATCAACGTTTTTAACGGATGAAAATCTAACAAGAGAACTTTCTTAGGTTCCAGATCTTGGCTTTTTTTTGTATATATGTGAATTTGTGTAGTCTTGAGCCAAAATGTTTTGAAGCAGAGGTTTTTGAGGTAACAGAATGAAGTTTTTGTTTTGTATACAAAATAAGATACGTATACATACTTGTTTTGAAAGATGTGAAGTGAAACGATATGGTCTTTAACGCTCTGCCGTTTATAAGAATTGTTCAGACACTGCATGTTGTGTGTTATTCACTAGTACATATGGGAAAACAACAAAATTTCAGTAAAAATGAAAATGGCCTATACAGGGATCGAACCTGTGACCTTCGCGTTATTAGCACGACGCTCTAACCAACTGAGCTAATAGGCCAACTTGTTGACATTATTATTATTACAGATTCATTATCATAGCCACTGAGACTGAGTCAATAGTAGTTGGAGAAAAAAGAGAAGTACAAGGAATAAGAATAAAAGTGGCCTATACAGGGCTCGAACCTGTGACCTTCGCGTTATTAGCACGACGCTCTAACCAACTGAGCTAATAGGCCAACTTGTTGACATTATTATTATTACAGATTCATTATCATAGCCACTGAGACTGAGTCAATAGTAGTTGGAGAAAAAAGAGAAGTACAAGGAATAAGAATAAAAGTGGCCTATACAGGGCTCGAACCTGTGACCTTCGCGTTATTAGCACGACGCTCTAACCAACTGAGCTAATAGGCCAACTTGTTGACATTATTATCATTACAGATCCATTATCGCAGCCACTGAGTCAATAATAGTTGGAGAAAAAATAGAAGTACAAGGAATAAAAATAAAATTGGCCTATACAGGGATCGAACCTGTGACCTTCGCGTTATTAGCACGACGCTCTAACCAACTGAGCTAATAGGCCTTTTGTACATTAAATAGATTGAGTATTTCATCATGAAGTATTGACTAAATGTGTAACGATGAAAATTATGTTTACCTGAGCAGTGTGGTAATAAGTACATGAAGAACTGTTTGTCATCCCGAAGATCTGCCACATGTGATGAACATAAATCTTAAGAAACAAGTGAAAGTGAAAAGAAGCATAAGTATTCTTTAGTAAGAAACAGAGTCCCTTGTTACTTCCATTTTTGACAATCTCTTATAATAAGCCTTTCATAAAGGTTCATATTTAGACATTGTATATGTAACTGAAGCTGGAGAGTTTATTGTCCCATGATTAAGACACAAAGGGAATCAGCAACAAGTGCAGAGAAAAGAGAAACTTACCAAATTTGGTTCCAACAAGAACTGAGAAAGTCAAATCAAGTTCATGTTATCTTATAAAAACACACCTCCCTTGGCTACAAAGCCTTGTTACTGTTTTTTGTTGTGAAGAGATTGAGCCTTATCCATCTTCCTAAAACAAGAAAAGTAACAAATTTTAACTTAATGAATGGTCGAAAAAGGGTTTAAGGAGATGATGAATCCGAAACTTTCTTATTACTTGCATGTACGAATAGTGTTAAATTCTTCTGATAAGATCAATTTCCTTGCCAGAAAGTAAACACAATCCGCAATGAAAAATCAAAATCAAAATAAAAAGTCAGATTTTTTTACATCAAAACAACAAATTCATCATTAGATCGAGAGATTCAATCAAAAGATCAATTATCCATATACATTCTTTATACGCACTCCGATTTTCCAAATTACTCTTAAACAATCTCACCTTCCTCAATATCATCGCGAGCTTCCAGAGACTTATCATCATAATCACCGTCGGGTCTCAAAACCAGACCAATCTCTCTAAACCAAAACCGACTCCTCAACATACGAGCGCCACCGCAGAAACTCATGATTTCCCTCTCCGGTAACCACCCATCTTCGAACGCGACGTTGTTTCTAGCTTCCTCTTCCGTCTTCGCCACGGCAAGCCTTGTCTCTCGTCGAAGTTTCAACTTCAAAGCCCTAGCTTCGATTCTAGATTTCTCCTCACGCTGCTTTTTCACTAAGAGAAGCTTCTCTTTCTTTATCTTCATCATAGCGTCGGCTCTGTTGCCGCCGCTCTGCTCGATGAGTTTACTGCACTTTGCTTTGACGATGATATCCGCGAACCGGATCCTTATTTTCGCCGCACGAAGAGATTTTTCAGAGGACGAGAGTAAGAGATCACGGCCAATCTGCGTCGCTGTCGACATGATCGAAGAAAGAAGAAGCGAAGAAAGATTTAGGGTTTTTTTTTATCGAGTTATGGAAATAATTGGTAGTGTATGTTTCTATATATATATTTTAGATTTGTTTGCTTAATCCTGAAACTAGTGGAAAAGGAAATTGAGATTGCATAAAAAAGGAAATATAGAAAAAAGAAAAAAAAAAAAATATATATATATATAGAAAAAAAGGAAATTAAAACCACGCAAAAAGCAAAACACGTTTAATTATTACTTGTTGTTTTCTCGTTCCTTTGAAATTTCAATTATGTAATCAAGTTTTCCCCTAACAAAAATTGAGTAAAAATAATAAGTGGCCTATACAGGGATCGAACCTGTGACCTTCGCGTTATTAGCACGACGCTCTAACCAACTGAGCTAATAGGCCTTTTGTTTTATAAACCTCAGAGGGTTTATATATTTGTAATTAACAATGAATCTTAAATGTTTGAACTTTAAAACTGCATTGTTTAAGACTTAACTTTTGTTCTCGAATGCATTGGAAGGAAGGTTAAAGAGAGAGAGAGAGAGTATTCTTGCTAGATCAGGTCTCTTTTTATCAGTAAAACAGTAGAAGTAATCGTTTTTTTCGGATTAAGAGAGCTTATTAAGTTATAACAACAACTCTGAACCATTTTTTATGCCAATGTGTGTTCTTCTTAAGCATTCACTAGAGAGTGGAAGAGAGACAGAGACAGAGATAGAGATAGAAAGAAGTAAGAACGTAGAGAAATTACAATATGGAGCAAGCCTTTTGTGCTTTGCTCTTCTTTTTCTTCTGCTTTGGAGGTTGAAGAACCACTCTGATCGCTGCATCAAACACCGCCTTTACGTTCTGCATTTCATTAAAACAGTCTCAGGCTTAAGAAAGAGATTTGAAGAACAAACTCAAGTAAACATTAAATGAAGTATTCATCAAAAGGGAAGTGTTTTTTGTTTTTACTCGCCTCCTGTGATTTTGAACTGCACTCGATGTATGCAGGGGATCCAATTAGCTTCCTCAGTTCCTCTCCCTTTGATAGCCAAAGTGGGGAAATGGTTAAGAGAGTTTCGTTTAAGTGCCAAGCGGAAGTAAATGAACCGACTTGTGAGAAAGTTATGTGTACCTGAGCAGTTGTGATAGGTACAGCACCAGGGTGGTCAATGAAGAACTGTTTGTCATCCCGAAGATCTGCCACACATGATGAAAACATAAGCAGACGACGAAGATTAGGCAGCAGGAATCCGAAAGCATAGGTGTTAATAGTAGGATACAGAATCTGTTACACCAATTTTGAGCTGATCTTGTATTCTAAAGGTTTATAGTTGCTATATGTAGACATCGAAAGGCTGCTATGGCTGTCTCTTACAATGGAGGATATTAAAACCCATTTGATCCATAACAAACAGAAAGAAGAAACATCGAAGACAAGCTTCTAAACCTAGATTATCGCAAAAACTAAAACCAGTCCTCGTTTCCATTAGATCAAAAGAGCTAAAAAAGTACCAAATGGACATATATTGGACGTGAACAAATGTAAACAGAACCAGTGAATGTAAAGTAGCGTCACAAATTTATCCAGTGAAGCTTAAGCAATGCAGAAAATATTGTCTACAATCTACATAAAAGTAATTAGCACATATACAAGAAAGGAAAAGTTACCTAGTTTAGTTCCAACAAGAACTATAGGGACACCAGGTGCATAGTGCTTCAGCTCAGGAATCCACTGCAAAAAAACAACAGATACATCCACAAAATCACAACCAAAAAGACTTCACAAGTTTTCTACATCTCAAAAAACTTCTCCCAAAACTAGAAAACGCACCTTCTTGGACACATTCTCATAACTCGCCTTACTGATGAGAGAAAAGGCTAAGATGAAAACGTCAGCACCGCGGTAACTCAACGGTCTTAATCTGTTATAATCCTCCTGCCCTGTTTACAAACACAAAAACGAAGTTTCAGACTCATGGAGAAACGAAAAAAAAGAAAGCCATAGCTTTCTGCTACTAAGTAAGATCACCATATTGTCAAAAGTACCTGCGGTATCCCACAATCCTAGGTTCACCGTTGCCCCGTTAACAACCACATTCGCGCTGAAGTTATCGAAAACAGTCGGTACATAATCCTGTTCCACAGAAAGTTTCACAAAGAATGCATGAGATACAAGCTCTACAAATCCTCATAACAAATCAATTCAGGGTCATTAATCAACAGAGAAGCATAACAATTGAAGACATTTTCGCAGCTTTGTGACTAACATAACACAGAATCAATCTAACAAGGATGTTGAGGATATTGATGGAGAAGGTGAAGAAGGAAGATATGAATATACCGTAGGGAAAGTGTTGCTGGTGTATGAAATCAGCAGACAGGTTTTACCGACAGCTCCGTCGCCAACGGTGACGCACTTTATGAACCTCGAAGCGCTCATTTCTTCCCGCTTCTCTTCTTCTCCAGATTCTTCACCAGAATTGGAGCTACGTGATCACACACAAAAGGAAAGAGAGAAAAAAAATTCCCCTCGAAGAATTCAAAAATTCAACCTCAGATCTACACCCGAGGAAACAACGGAAACAAAATCTCCTCAACAGAAACAGAACTCCTCCGTATTCTCCTTTCAATTCGCCATCTCCGGTAACAAGAAAAACCCTAGAAATGTTAAAATAGGAAACCCTAAACGAAATCGGAAATGTGAGAGATGAGAAGAGGAGATGAAAGAGGAATGAACGTGAGCTTGATGAATCGTATCGAGAACTACGGGGGAGAGAGAGAGAGAGAGGAAGTAGAACAAAGTGATGGCCGGAAATTTATGCCATTGAAGCGTTCACAAAAGGAACAATCTCTACCATCAACTTCCCCGATTGTTTTGCTTTTATTTATTTTTCTCGTTTCTCTTTTCTGTTAATTTGTTTCTTTTTTTGTTTTAACTTTTAACCTACAATTTGTTTCTTTTTATTATAAATAAACTGAATTAAATAAGAAGAAGGAGAAGTTATGAAGGAGAGATAGAGAGAGAGAGTTACTAAGAGAGAGAGGGTGTGTGGTGTACGTGAGGAGAGGAGGAGATGAAGAGAAGTTTCGTATGTTGAAGGAGAGAGTATTGGTGAAAGATTTCTTTTTGTATTCAACTTATAATCTTAATACAATAATAAGACTCCTATTTATAGAGAGTAAATAATGTTAAAAATATTACAGTCGGTAATGTAAGGCGGTGAACGAAACTTACACCATAAGTATAGATTAAAATATTTGGATAATTATCCTTTCTAACACTCCTCTTAATTATCCGCTTTGTATTATGTACGGTCTCGTTAAAAAACCTATGTCATAGAAAAACCCAATGGGATAAAAACTATGACTTAGGAAAAAGAGTACCGCAGCATAATCTCCCCTGGAAAAGATAGAATCTTTTCTTTTCACAAATTTTGTAGACGACGCATTCCGATACTGTGAACATGCTTCTTGAACACTGTAGTAGGAAGCGCCTTTGTAAAAAGATCGGCTGCATTGTCACTTGAACGAATATACTCGATGTCCACTTCTTGATTTTTCTGGAGTTCTTGAGTGTATGAGAAAAATCTTGGAGGAATATGCTTCGTTCTGTCACTCTTGATATAACCTTCTTTGAGTTGTGTGACACATGCAGAATTGTCTTCAAATATTTTTGTTGGCTCTTTCTCTGTAACTATTCCACTTGATTCTTGTATGTGATGAGTCATAGACCGGAGCCACACACACTCTCTACATGCTTCATGGAGAGCAATAGTTTCTGCATAATTTGAAGACGTTGCAACCAAAGTTTGCTTTTGCGAACGCCAGGAGACCGCAGTTCCACCAATTGTGAAAACATAACCTGTTTGTGATCTAGCTTTGTGTGGATCTGATAGATATCCTGCATCAGCAAAACCAACTAAAACACATTTTGAGTTCTTAGGATAAAATAATCCTAAATCAATTGATCCTTGAAGATAACGAAAAATATGTTTTATTCCATTCCAATGTCTGCGCGTAGGGGACGAACTATATCTTGCAAGCAGATTAGTAGCAAAAGCTATATCTGGTCTAGTGCAATTTGCAAGATACATTAGTCCACCAATAGCGCTCATGTAAGGTACTTCAGGACCTAACACTTCCTCGTTATCCTCACAAGGACGGAATGGATCCTTTTCAACATCAAGAGATCTATTAACCATTGGAGTACTCAAAGGAGTTGCTTTGTCCATATAAAAGCGTTTTAACACTCTTTTAGTGTAATTTGACTGATGCACAAATATACCATCTTGGAAATGCTCTATCTGGAGCCCAAGACAAAACTTTGTCTTTCCAAGATCTTTCATTTCAAACTCTTCTTTCATATGAGTTCTTGCATCATCAATTTCCTTTTGAGTTCCAATCATGTTCAGGTCATCTACATATACAGCAATAATCACAAATCCTGACGAGGATTTCTTAATGAATACGCAAGGGCATATCGCATTGTTGACGTAATCTTTACTCAACAAATATTCACTTAAGCGATTATACCACATGCGTCCGGACTGTTTTAGTCCATAAAGTGATCGCTGTAATCTGACCGAACAGATCTCCTTAGCCTTTGATTTCAAATCCTCAGGCATTTTTAATCCTTCTGGGATTTTCATATATATCTCATTTTCAAGAGATCCATATAGATATGCTGTCACAACATCCATGAGATACATTTCAAGATTTTGAGACGCTGCTAAGCTCATCAAAAATCTGAATGTTATGGCATCCATTACCGGGGAATATGTTTCTTCATAATCAATTCCCGGTCTTTGAGAAAAACCTTGAGCCACAAGTCGGGCTTTATATCTTGTGACCTCATTTTTCTCATTTCTTTTTCTTACAAAAACCCATTTGTGCCCGACGGGTTTTGTATTCTCAGGAGTTGTGACAATAGGTCCAAAAACACTTCTTTTATTGAGGGAGAGTAATTCAGCTTGGATGGCCATTTTCCATTTCTCCCAATCAGGTCTTTTCAGACACTCTGATATTGTTTCTGGATCTGGATCATCACTTTCATGATCAATCTCTTTGTATACAGAAAAAGAGAATATTCCATCATCATCTTCTATTTCATTTCTTGTCCATACTTTTCCATTTTGGGCGAAGTTGATGGAAATCTCAAATTTTTCTGTATCATGTTCGTCTTCTGGACGAATCTCTTTCTCTGGTTCTTCAAAAACCAGTTTGTTTATGTCTTCAGGACATATTTCTTTACTAGGTTCTTCTTGAACCTTTTCTCCCAAATTCTTTTTCTTTCGGGGATTTTTATCTTTAGAGCCCATCGGCCTCCCCCTCTTTAATTGGACTTTGGGTGCATTTGCTATGCTTCCATCATTTTGTTCCTTAGAACATCTATCTTTGATGGAACGTTTGCAGCGGGTATATATGATTTCGTCACTCTTTTTGTATCTGTGAACGAATCTGGTAATTGATTTGCCATATTTTGTAAATGTATAATTTTCTGAACTTCCAATTCGCGTTGTTTTGTCGGGGGATCAAAGTGTAACAAATTCGGTGTACACCATGTGAGGTCTTTTGGAACCTCTTTAATTCCTCCCCCTAACGCTGGAAATTCATCTTCATTAAAATGGCAATCGGCAAAACGTGCCGTAAACATATCACCAGTTTGAGGTTCAAGATACCGAATAATACTCGGTGACGTATACCCAACGTATATTCCCAATCTCCTTTGTGGCCCCATTTTTGTTCTTTGTGGCGGTGCTATCGGAACATAAACCGCACAACCAAAAACACGGAGATGGGATACGTTTGGCTCCTGACCAGATGCCAATTGCAATGGGGAATATATATTATAAGCACTTGGTCGTATTTGGAGCAACGCTGCAGCATGCAAAATAGCATGACCCCATATAGAAATTGGGAGTTTTGTTCTCATTATTAACGGTCTTGCAATCAGTTGCAACCGTTTAATCAAAGACTCAGCCATGCCATTTTGTGTATGGACATGTGGAACCGGATGCTCAACATCGATTCCCAATGACATGCAATAGTCATTAAAGGCTGTGAAGTGAATTCACCAGCGTTATCTAATCTCACTTTCTTAATAGTATAATCAGGGAACTGTGCTCTCAACCTGATTATTTGGGCAATGAATCTTGCGAAAGCCGTATTTCGTGTTGTCAAAAGACACACATGTGACCATCTACTTGATGCGTCAATTAATACCATAAAGTATTGAAACGGTCCGCATGGTGGGTGAATAGGCCCACATATATCACCGTGTATTCTCTCTAAGAACACAGGGGATTCATTCCAACTTTCGCTGGTGATGGCCGAGTTATGAGTTTTCCTTGAGAACATGCATTACATATGAACTCGCCCGTTTCTAAAATTTTCCCGTATTTCAACGGATGGCCATTTGAGTTTTGCACAATTTTTCTCATCATGACTGAACCTGGATGCCCTAGCCTTTCATGCCAGATTTTGAATGTACTAGTAAACTTCGGGTTTACTGTAACATATGATTCAGTCAGAGTAATATTTGTGCAATATAATCCGGAGGACATCATTTTCAACTCTTCCAATATTTGTCCCTCCGATTTGATGCAAAGGATTTCAATGCCATTCTTATTTATAGTCTCTATGTGATATCCATTTTTACGGATATCTTTGAAACTCAATAAGTTTCTATAAGACTTCGGGGAATATAATGCATCATTTATTTCAAACTTTGTTCCCCTTGGCATTGAAAAATTGGCTCTTCCAGAGCCCAATATTATTTTTGCACCACCAGAAATGGTATTCACGCTTTCAACGGAATCTTTAATTTTGAGACCGGAGAAATATCTTTTATCTTTGAGTATTGTGTGCGTTGTAGCACTGTCTGCAAGACACATATCTCCATCACGAGTCTCAAATTTCGTCATTTCTGGATTTAACAAAGATGCATTAATAAGTATTAAACAATACAAAGCTTATATCACAAGATACAAAATACCACATTAAAAACTATTTTACAACAAAAAGATCAAACTTTTAGGTTATCTTATTCAGGAAGATAACTATGTATATCATGTCCTTTTAGTCGTCTGTTTTTCCGTTGATCTCTTCGGAGTCAACCAGAAAATCTGAAACATCAAGATGAGTATCATCGTTTAGGCCGTGAAAGGAAGGACCGGGTTCATTGGAGATGAAGTTAGTCTCACTTTCTTTCTCCTTTGCTTTTTGTGATTCCCGGTACAGATCGGCTAAGTGTCTGGGTGTACGACAAGTACGCTCCCAGTGATTTTTCATGCCGCATCTGTAGCAAACACTTTCTTTTTGCTTTTTAGAATCTCGGCCGTAATCATTTGCTCGAGATCTTTTATAATTCCTTTCATTGTTGGACTCGTCGGGACGGTACTCTTTTCCTTGTCCCCGACCACGTCCACGGCCACGGCCACGACCTCGGTTTCGACCGTATCCACGTCCACGTCCTCGTCCATTATTTTGGCTGGACGATGCTACATTCGCTTCTGGGAATGGAGCAGCTCCAGTGGGACGAGTCTGATGGTTCATCATCACAAGCTCGTTATTCTGTTCTGCAACAAGGAGAACTTCCATCAATTTTGAATAACGAGTATAGCCATTTGCCCGATATTGTTGTTGCAGGACTATATTTCCAGGGTGAAATGTGGAGAGCGTTTTTTCAATCATATCATAATCGCTCACATTTTCTCCACATAGCACCATCTTGGAAATTATTCTGAACATAGCAGAATTATATTCAACAACACTTTTATAGTCCTGAAACCGGAGATATAGCCACTGGTATTTGGCTTTGGGCAAATCTATATATTTTTGATGGTCAAATCTTTCTTTCAAAGATTGCCAAAGATCCGCAGGATCTTCTTTAGTGATGTATTCATCTTTTAAACCATCGTGGATGTGATGAAGTAGAAAGATCATGGCTTTCGCCTTTTTCTCATCGGATGTCTCTTTCGACTTGTCAATGGCATCAAGAAGCCCATTTCCTTTTAGATGCATTTTTGCACCTATTGCCCATGTCATATAATTGTTTCCAGAAATATCAAGGGCGGAAATTTCGAGCTTAGCCAAATTTGACATGATATCTGCATAGATCATAGATCAGTTCATTAAATATAAATTCAAATTCAAATTTGCACAATAAAAAAATTTGAGCATTATAACAGTATAAATTTAGCAGAAATTTAGATGGCAGAAAAGTAAATAGCGAAAAAGTAAATTACAGAAAATAAATATTCAGGAAGAGGCAAAGCCTCTACTCCAAGAGGAGGTTTCACCATCAACTCTTATATGATCTAAGGTGACATAGTCTACCATATGATCATTTGCTCGGAGTAGGTACAACCTAGCATCCCGGCTTAAGAAATGATTTTTCGATTGTGGAGACAAAGCTACCATAACAATCGGCTCGGAGAAGGCATAGCCTACCATCCCGGCATAGCATATAAACAATAGAAAATAGACAGAATATAAGAACCATCGTGCTGATAACGTATTATAAATAAACTGATTAAATAAGAAGAAGGAGAAGTTATGAAGGAGAGATGGAGAGAGAGAGAGAGTTACTAAGAGAGAGAGGGTGTGTGGTGTACGTGAGGAGAGGAGGAGATGAAGAGAAGTTTCGTATGTTGAAGGAGAGAGTATTGGTGAAAGATTTCTTATTTGTATTCAACTTATGATCTTAATACAATAATAAGACTCCTATTTATAGAGAGTAAATAATGTTAAAAATATTACAGTCGGTAATGTAAGGCGGTGAACGAAACTTACACCATAAGTATAGATTAAAATATTTGGATAATTATCCTTTCTAACACTTTTCCCTTTGAAAGTTAATTTATTATGTCACACTCTGCAACAACATTCACATATCATCATTATGTATGCCTTCACGCATATACGGTGTCTAATGAGTTTTTTTACTATACAAATGTCGTGAATGTTTAAGCATAATAATACAGCTTATTGGTAAATATCATTATCGACTTAAATCCAACAATGATAGTCTGAGATAATGTCATATTGATAATATTTTGGTGCAAACACTTCTAATGAAAGCACACTTTGAACAGAAACTTTTAACAATTCTGTATTTTAAGAGGAGAAAATTACAAAGCACTTTGACAAAGTCTTATTACAAATAAAGACATTTCCATTCCAAAGTGACTTTGCCCATTTTTGAACCACTTTTGAAGGAATGAAAATTTCAAAATTGCCTTTTATTAAGTTGGATTCATTTTCTTCTTTATGAATTTTACTGCTATCGACGTTTCTGAACTTTTTTTTACCGTTACGGAAGAACTCTTCACCGGCATCGGAGGAAGAAGACCATAACAAGACAAAGAAGAAGAGCTTGCTCTGAGAGGCTATGATGAAGAAGCTGCTGATCTGAGAAAATTTGGGCTGTTGAAAATAACATCCAATTTTGCCTCTTGCCTCTGCAATTTTAACAATTATCTCTCCAAATCTAAATCTAGCACTAAATTGAGATTTTCAACACCGAAGCAGCGCCGTAACGATAGTTTCAAGTTCTAACAGAAAACATGTAACTAATAGCATAAGTACATATGTACAAGGAGTAGTGGATATACTTGCATATGGATGTTGCACACTTTTTTTTATGGATACTTTTGCATTTAGTATCATGGATTGATCATCGTGGATAACTAATAATAATTTTGGGTTTGAGATTTAGTGTCATTGATGGACAAAGATATGTACAGGTGATATTGGACACAAACAAACAATGGATGACGCACATTTGGACTTACTTTTATGGATTAGCCAGCGTGGATACGCAACAAACTAACAAAATATTATGTAGCAGTTTCATTGTGGGATATTACAGATTATTTTGTCTTCGTGGTAATGATATGGTGGATGCCTGCGTATATGTGGTAATGGGCGGTTTAGATGATAATAATAAATTGTTCCAAAGATTTCAATCTGTTGGGAAAAAGTTTTCCCTATTTTCCTCCAAAGATTTCAATACTTCAAAGACGTAGCTAATAACAAGATTATGCGAGATAAATCGTATATGGGTTTCTTTTCTTGGAGTGAGGAGAAGCTGAATATATCTGATATCAGTTTTGTTGAAGTTTGGAGTAGATAAATCTGAGTTTACTCGCGATCATGTCCACGTCTAGATGTCCACGCAATTGTGTCCAGATATTTTTGAGTCCATCTGGACGTCTTTGTTTGGATAATTGCTTTGGGATATGAATGGATATGGCGAAACTCAAACCTCACCATCGAATTTGTATGTGTAGCAAGTGAAATAAGTTTGTTTCACTAATATAACTTGTGGGAAAGACATACTAACGAAATACTAACGAAAGGGTTACTAGGCATACCGTTTCCAAAATCATAAACATAAAAGATACAACCACATGAATACACTTGTATATTGATAGTAGACTGTAAACAGTGAAGAGGTCTAAAATACAATAATATTGCCATAGTTTTAGCATAGAAATATACACAAATGTAATACATTCTCAGATTAAACTAATTCATCATGCTCATATGTAATATCGAGTGTCAAGCATTGAAGCAACTAATATACTGGAACACATAGATTGTGACTCGTGGACGGGTTTGTATGGATATGACTTTCAATTGTTTGACTCACATTAATTGATAGTACGTGATACAAGAGAATTTGTTGTTTCCTTCTATCTCTATTGTTAAACATAATGTCGTTGTGCATTCAATAAAACGTTATATATTGATAAAAGAAGATTGTTCCCACATTTTATTGTTCTTGATTGTATATATGGTTTTATGTCCATATGTTCAAGGTTTTTTGCTCTTGATGGTATCCACAGTTTCAACTTTCATATATCCATGATTGCATGTTCTCGCTTTCCTGTTCTTATTTGTATCAACATTTTAATGTCCTTTTGATGGGCTACATCTATGAGTATAAACATTTCTTAAGATCTAAAGGCAAAGAAGGATGAGACGAGCTATATGTTTGAAAAGGTTTTGAAGTTACTTATCGGAAAAGCATATCAAAGGTTTGTTTTAAGAAAATGGCTTTGCATTTCGTTAAGTTTTATAAATTGTCAAACTCTGTATTTTACTATTCTCAAAATATATATCAAACACAAAGATAACAAGGTAGGATTAAATAATCTATACAGGCATAAGGAGGTCTATAAACATCCAATTAAGATGATTAAGAATAAAGATGGCTAAAAGTTTCATTGCAAACTAAATCATCTACACAAAATTTAGAAATATGGTTTAACTTGACATCGTTTCAAAGCATCCACATCAGATCATCCACCCGCGTGGTGTATCGATGATTTCATTCCTCAGAAAACGTTCACAATAATGTATTGACAGGTGGTCGTGGACACAGAAAATGAATGTTGAAAACTTTTTTCCTCGAATGGATAGGTGGTAGTGGACACACATGTATATTTGAACGAGGTGATGGGTCAGTGTACACTGTCATATGCGTACATATTGTGTATTGTTTCTGGATTTATGTTTATGGATATACGTCTGTGGGTATGTAGTCTTCATGCGTATTTATGCTATCATTCCGGAAGAGATGTGCAACAAACGTCTCTGATAACAAGCAAAGGCACTTTGTTACGACCACATGTTATTCTAAGTTGTTGAAGTGCGAGGCCGTTGTTGAACTGCAACTATCCATGTGTTTGTCCTCCATGCACCTGTATCAAAGTGGTTAACTATATCCAACTATCATCTATTTATTCTTTAATAAACGTATATGTCCATACTAGTGCTATCCATGAAACTGCATCCATATGGATAGCCAGCCATCCAAGTTAAATGTATCCGAAAATTCGGAGTAGTTGAATATGAGTTAACTCGCGATCATGTCCACATCTAGATGTACACGCAGCCGTGTCCACTTGTGATCTAGTCCACACCCACCTTTGTGTCCACATCTACGTGTTAGATGAATATACCTAGAAATCATATATCTTTAATCATGTCCAAGATATGTGTTAACTCGCGATCATGTCCACATCTAGATATCCACATCTACCTTTATGTCTACATCTATGTGTTAGATGAATATATCTAGAAATTATATACCTTTGTACTGACCAAGGTATATGTTACCTCGCGAGCATGTCCACATCTACCTTTGATACACGACGGAGTAGATGAATATAGGTTAACTCGCGATCATGTCCATATCTAGATGTACACGCAGTCGTGTACACCTCTGATTTAGTCCACATCTGCCTTTGTGTCCACATCTACGTGTTAGATGAATATACCTACGGGTTAATTTGCGATCAGGTCTACATCTACCCAGTCGTGTCCACTTGTAATCTAGATAAATATGTGTTAACTCGCGATCGTGTCCACAGGTAGATGTACACACAGTCGTGTCCACATATAAATATATTCATCTTCTCCGCACTTCAAGAGAAGAAACCCAGAAAAAGATGAAATTGAATCGTGAAAATTTGAGACGATTGAATGAGGAGACGACATGATTACAAACGGATATAGTGAAGTGAGAGGCAGTGAAGATATAGAGTGTGTGAGGTGGCGTTGTTGATTTTTAAGAACCGACCAGAGTCATGAGATTCAGACGGTGGTGAAAGCGGTGGCGTTAGATGGTGTGATAGGGTTTTACAGTTATTGACTTTTTTGTTTCTCTAGTAAAAAAAGAAGGTGAGATGAAGAAAAAATAAAACGGCGGCTTTTGGGTAAAAGGAGAAAAGAGGGTTCAATTTAGAAATAGGCTTTTTTGGTCTTTTTAACATACCAAAGTCACCTAAACGTAGAAGGTGCCTTTTTTTTACTTTTAAAGTCCAAAGTGCCTTTACCATATCACTCTTTTAAGAGAACCTCATCTAACAACCAATGTTAAAAAGCTCAGATTCGTATTAAACACAGCAAACTCCACAAGTTACAAACCGTGAACCGCCTTGAAAATCCGAGGAATAAACCAGACCCAAAACCGGGTTTTACATTTCGAGCAGCAATCAACAACACACACAAGT